CCCCCTCCCCCCCCTCTCTCTCTTTGATCTTCTTTCCCCTTTCTGTCCCTTTCCCTGTCCCTGGAGATCTGCTCCTCCTTTCACAGTCATTTCCCTTAAGGAAAAGCCCCTCTGCTTGAACTCTGTTGCATGGTGTCTTTCTTTCTCAAGCAGCTTTTCTTAAATAACAACACTATTTCCAAGCTATGTGACTCAGGTATTTAATATTGTGATGGGCAATTGACTCAAACAAAGATTTATTTGATGATTTGAGAACCTAATTGTACTAAGATAAACCTGAACTAGTTATTTAGAATGTCAATTTTTAGAATAAAATATTTTTGCTTTATTTCCCTTATATTAGGGCTTTATTTATATTTTCTGTATATACATAATTATCTATTTTATAAGTGTGTATGATAATTTTGACTGGATGTAAACCAATCTAAGGCTTTAAACATAGTGATATTAATCTGAACTAGTAGTTATATTTGCTTAATTTTATCAGTGGTGGTAATTATTTCTGTGGTTACAGTATCAGCTTAAATATTTATAAGCAGTGTAGTAGACAATATATTTATGGAGAGAATCAGGAATTCAATATTTTAAGTAGTTTATCCAAGACGTCTTTCTATTCTGGAAGAAGACCAAAAGAAAACATGGCATCTACAGCTCATTGTCTATTGACCCACTGTCCAATTTCCCATTTGTCTCTTTACTCATTGTATATTTATCTGTTTGACACTGCCTCTTAAAAATGTTCACGTGAGTGGGTGTAACAACTTACTTTAAAAGCAGCAATAGGAACTCAGCAAGCTTATTTCGAAAAAGGAAATATATTGTGATTATTTGAAATTACTGAAATTTGAAGAGTTTTTTACAAAATACTATCATGTGCAAAATCAAAAATTGTACTTTAATTTTTCAGCTTTATTCTCCTCTGTAGGTTTAATTCCCTAAACGCTAATTGATGTTAGATACCCATTTAGCTTTTAAACAATTTTCCTATTCTTGATTTTTTTATTTTTGCTTTGTTGTTTGATCTTTTACTTTGTCTTTGATTTATTACTTTTTTTTAGAATTTCAAATATAGTGCTAACATTATCTTCAGATTGTCTATTTTCTCTTTCTTTAGTCTTTCATAATATTTGAGAATTCCATAACCCATGTAATATGTTTTGATCAAATCTACTTGCAATTCTCTGCCCTCCAATTCCTTCCCTATTCTAAATCACTTTTCTATCCAAAATTTATGTGTCCTTTTTCTTTGTTTTCTTAAGCATACTAAGTCCAGCTAGTGTTGCTAGAATGTTCATGACTGTAGAATACTTTATTGGGGTATGGATAGCCTATCATGGGCCTTGATATGATGTAAACTGAATCTCTGCCTGCTTCCTCCAGCAGCCATCATTGCTAAAAGCTAGTAATGGAACTTCATGAGTCCCTCTCAATCCATGCTGCAATTATAGATAGTTTGAATTCATGCAGATTTCTGAATAGAGTCTTAGCTTCTATGAGTTCATGCATGTGGAGCACTGCTATGACTGGAAAATATTGTTTTGCTATATCCATCTATCTCCTGATTTTCAAGGTTTTTCTCCCCTCTTCCAAGATGATGCCTGAGCCTTGGAGTGAGTTGTGCAATACAGATAACTCTTTTATAACATATGACTCTACCGACTGTCCTTTTCTGCATGTTTACTGCTTGTGGATCACTGTATTAGTCACCTTCTACTCCAAAATATACTTATCTAACAAGGGTTGGGAAATGCACTAATATAAATATATAAATGTAACTAAGGAATAGTTTGTTGCTACACATCAGCCAATGGTTTTTAGGGCAGTTAACAGTTCCTGCTGTGATTTCTGTCTTGTTATTGGTTATTCATAACCAATCAGGAAATTGTGGCTAATTTCATTGAAAGTTTTCCTATTGCTGCATCAGTATGCATATTTTGTGAGGGAAATCATAATGGTAGATAACAAAGTACATACATGGGTAAGATTGCATATCACCTTTCTCCCCAGTAACATTCATAGAACCTTCCAGTACTATGAAAGCAACCTTAGTACCAAATTGATTCCTTCATGTCTTATGACTTGTCTTCAGTGTCTTCAGCAATATGTTTTATTTATTTTTCACTTTGTTATTTTTTTGTAAAACTTATTTTGATTAGTCTCACAAATACTCTTACCTCATCTTACCTCCCAGCACAACAAACTATTCACTCTTTCTCTCTCTCTAAAACAAATAAGTAACCAAAAAGATAAAAAACAAAAATCAGTGCTAACAAAAATCAAATAAGATGACAAAACAAACAAAAATAAAGGAACCAAAAGGAGCATTCACTAGACCTGCTTAGGTTCCAGGCAAACAGAAGCCCAAAACTGAAAAGGGAAGTAGATGCAAAAATTCCCACCTCTAACCAAGAATCCATTTGTTTCATTTTGTTTTCAAATTTAACTTGTTTATTGATTCTTTGTAGATTTCACACCATGCATATTGATCCCACTCCTGTCCCTTCCAATCTGCCCTCTACCCTTGAAACCTACACCCCTCCCAGGATAAAAGAAGATAAATTTTAAAAGAAAAAAGAGAGAAAAAATAAGCAAAACTCTGTAGATCTCTTTCTTAGTTGTGTTTTTATGTGGCGTGGGTAACAAGGTAATTGTAGCCTTGTAAAAATAGTTTGGCAATGAACCTTCTGCTTCTATTGTATCGAACAATTTGAGGAGTATTGGTGTTAGCTCTTCTTTGAATTTCTGGTAGAATTCCAAACTGAAGCCATCTGGCCCTGGGCTTTTTTTTGGTTGGAAGACTTTTGATGACTGCTTCTATTTCCTTAGAGTTTATAGCTCTGTTTAAGTTGCTTATCTGTTCTTAATTCAATTTTGCTAAGTGATATCTGTCCAGAAAATTGTCCATTTCCTTTAAATTTTCCAATTTTGTGGAGTACAGGTTTTCAAAGGGAGACCTGAAGTTGCTCTGGATTTCCTCAGTGTTCCTTGTTATGTCCCCCTTTTCATTTCTGATTTTGTCAACTTGCATGTTCTGTTTCTGCCTTTTGGTTAGTTTGGATAAAGGTTTGTCTATCCTGTTGATTTTCTGGAAGAACCAACATTTTGTTACATTGATTCTTTGAGTTGTTTTCTTTGTTTCAACTTTATTGATTTCTGCCCTCAGTTTGATTATTCCTGGAATCTACTCTTCTGGAGTGAATTTGCTTCCATTTGTTCTAGAGCTTTCAATTGTGATGTCAATCTCTGGTGTGACTGTTCTTCTAGTTTCTTCATGTGAGCACTTAGAGCTATGAACTTTCCTCTTAGTACTGTTTTCAAAGTGTCCCATAAGTTTGGGTCTGTTGTGTTGTCACTTTCATTGAATTCAAGGAAGTCTTTAATTTCTTGCTTTATTTCTTCCTTAACCCAAGGAATGGTGCAATTGCATGTTGTTCAATTTCCATGAGTTCATAAGTATTTTGCAATTTGTGTTGTTTTTGAATTCTAACTTTAAGGCATGGTGGTCTGATAAGCCACAGGATTATTCCAATTTTTTTGTACCTGTTGAGTTTTCTATGTTGGAGAGTATGTGGTTGATTTTAGAGAAGGTTCCATGTGATGCTGAAAAGAAGTTATATTCTTTTGTGTTTGAATGGAAAGTTCTATAGATGTCTGATAACCCCAATTGGGTCATAACTTCTGTTAGTTACTTTGTCTCTTTGTTAAGTTTCTGTCTGGTTGTCCTGTCCAGTGATGAGAGTGGGGTTTTGAAGTCTCCCAATATAACTGTTTGAGGTCTTCTTTGTGATTTGAGTTTTAATAATATTTCTTTTATGAATGTTGGTGCCTTTGTATTTGGGGCATAGATGGACTGATCCAGAACCCCTGAATGTGGGTGTCAGTGAGGAGACCTTGGAAATCTATGGGACCTCTTGTAGTGGTTCAGTACTTATCCCTAGCATAGTAATGGACTTTGAGAGATCATGCCACAAGGAGGGATACTCCATGAGCCTAGACACAAGGGTGTTTGCCTAGGCCCTATCACAAAGACTAAGACAGACTTTGAATACCCCCTATGGAAGGCCTCACCCTCCTTGGGAGCAGAAAAGGTATGTATGGGATAGGTAGGGTGTTAGTTAGGGGGGGCATGGGAGGAGGGGAGGGAAAGGGAGCTGGAATTGGCATATAAAATAATTTTCTTTCTAATTAAAAAAAGAAAGAAAATAAGCAAAAGTCTCACTGTGGAAGTTGTAATGCGACTTAATTGGTCACATAGTCCTTTAGTCCATATATTGTTACTTGCAAGCGTTATTGTTTGAGTTGTTGGTCTGGCTTGAGGTCTATGGCTGTTGGTGCATCTACTGTGTCCTCACTGGGGCTCTTCCTGGATATTCTGTTGTCCTGTGTCTTGACGATTATATAACTTTGGGTCTGCAGAACCAGCCCTTTCCCATACTCTAGCAGATCATAGATGGGGTGCATGATGGGATATGTCAAATCATAGCTCTGGTTCAAGAAACTATTTGTCAATAATACCTCTCAAGAAAGGGAAATGATTTTTTCCTTGATGAAGTGTCACTGGGTATATTAACCATAACTTTGGGCAGACCCCATGAGCAGATGTTGGCCAACAGCAATGTGTTCTGTCAAATTCTAAGAGAATTTGAAATAGTGGATAATAACCATAGGTATATAGGACATCCCTGAACAGCAAATGTAGCAAAAGTATGTAGAATGAATTCGAATTGGTCATAATAATAAAAACCAGAACTCAGATATAAGGTTTAATACGGAAAGATCAGTGAAGCAGAGCAGCCAGAAACTAGTTCTTACCTTTACTGAATCCTCAGACTAAAGGGGCAATCCAGTTTTTACAAAACTTTAGACTGAATGCTCTGAGCTCCTGTCTACTTCCTCTTTATATTCTTCTCTCTGTCACCCATATCCCTTCCTGCTTCTACCTCTTTATTGTTGGGATTAAAGGCATGTGACTCCCAAGTACTGGGACTGAAGATGTGAGCCACCACCATATTCCTCTGTTCCCCCTTTAAACTGGCTTAATCTTTTGTAGCTCAGGGAGCTACAAAATCACAGAAATCTGCCTTCCTCTGCTTCCCCAGGGCTGGAATTAAAGGTATGTGCCACCACTGCCAGTCCTCTTTGGCTAACTAGTGGCTAGCTCCACACTCTGATCTTCAGGCAAGCTTTATTTGTTAAAGTACAAACAAAATATCACCACAGAAGTAATCAATTTCCGACACTTGTTATTATCTAGGAGAGTTCTTTTTATTGCACTATACAATAGCCCCATTTAAACTGTTGTTATATGTGAATATTTTTATACTTTAGAAAGCTTCTACAATAGAAGTTTGTCATTTCACATTTTTAGAAATTCTTTATAATGTTTGGTAGTTTGAGTAAGATGTTTCCCCATAGTCTTAGTCATTTGAATACACAACAATAGAAAAGCAAACCAAAATATATGGAAACTGGAATAGGATAAAATGATTTATGTGTTAAGAATACCTTTGCTCTCGGAAAATATCTGGGTTAGGCTACATGGCAGCTTCCAGAATAATGTAATTAAATTAAAGGGGGATCTGAGACACTCTTCTGACCTTTTGAAACCTGGGCAATTCATACAGATATACATGCAGGAAAACACACACACACACACACACACACACACACACACACACACACGTGTATATATGTGTGTGTGTGTGTGTGTATTAGACACTTAAAAGCAAAGAGATTTTTACTGAAATAACTGAATGTAAAATAATAAATCAAAATCACATGCATACAATTTGAAGAATAATGACAGTGACCAATTAACTTTAAAAAGAGTTTACAATGATTTTCAGTTCATGAACTATGAGTTCAAAAACAATGGAGTACATGAATAAATTAAGAAGCACATGTATCATATCCAGTGTGTATGAAGATGTGAACTAAGGAATCTTACTCCATAATTCTGAGACTTAAAATATGAGGTGGAACTCGGGACATGAGATATCATATTGCTGGCTGCGTATTTAACAGACCACTACTACATATTTTCTACTGAATGTATTCAAAATATTCACAGAAATGATACTAGAAGAGGAAAAAATAGAAATAACTGAAAGGAACTCAAATGGCTATTCTCAGTAGAATGTAAAACAGCACACTGTTTTTTTTTTAGATACTCTATAGAGTAAAAATAGCCAAGTGATTTAACATGAATGAACCACATGAATATATCCATTAAGCACAGTTTTATAAAATACTGTCTAAAACCAAACATATATATTAGAGAGAAATTAGAAAATGCTTAATTTAGCAATACAATGCCTTTTCTAAAAGAAAAAATAGCCATATAGGGTGTACTAAAACAATGAAAATTTCTTACATCTGGGGAATTATTTCAAAGAATGAGGAAAGAATTGGGGGCGTTAGACTCTTATTTTGATCATAAAAATCTATAAAATCTAATGCTAATTCCAATTACTGGTTTTGTATGTGAAATATAGAATCATTCTTAAATATATTGAATAGTTTTATTTTGAACAATGAATACATACAAACTGAAGAGGAGACTCAGCCCATTGGAGTGCTTGCTGGTCTTCTAGAGGACCCATGTGTCGTTCCCAACAACAAGGGATCTTCATATTTTTGTCTAGTAATTTGCAATAAAAAGCATAATTTTAGGAATATTAGGAATTATTATATTTTAAGCTTTAAAGGTAAGTGATAGAACATTTAATTAAATCAATCTTTGTAGAATTATTTTTTAAAACTGACACATCACACTTACACTTCATTTTTTGATTACAGAATATAAATGCATGGGTTCATCTAATTAAAGTAGCTAAAAGTTTTGGTTGTTTTTGTTTATTTCTTGCAGGACATGGCTTGAATTTGTAGCCTTTTACTAGCCAGTCCATTGTATTACTACATAGACATATCCTTTGACCAAGACTGGTATTTTTTTTATTATCTTTAAATATGAAATGCTCAATAATATTTATACATTTTCAGTACCAGTGATTAATTTTATGAAGGTGGTAATATAAATAGTAAAAAAAAAGCTTATTGAGAAGCAAACAATAAATACTTGATATTTCATTACTAGTTTGTAGAAACAAGGTAGAATTGTGCACAAATACAGTAACAGAGAGAGATACATAGATACACATATACATAAGAATATGTACATAAACACATACATGCATATATGCACACATATACAGAAATGTATTTATTCTACAAAATACATACATTTTCATCTAGGTATATTTACTACTTCAGGAAGCTGCTTGTATATCTAGACCAAAAAATGGGAATTTCAGCACTTACAGGCTTCATTTTTTCCTTTACTAATTAGTCAAATCCTTTGAGCAAGCTCCAGGATTCTGCATCAAAGCACAGATCAAAGTTATGGGAAGAACACATTTCATAACCTGAATTAAACAAGGTGAACCCATGAAATGGCAGTGTATTGTGAAAAAGTGTTTATTGGTTTAGGATCTAAAAATTGTTTGTATTGAAGGTATAAAATGTATGTTTTGATAATTTTTAATTACATTACAGTCAAAATTTTCAAAGACAAATTATGAATGCCAACAGAGAAAACTATGAAATACCTTAAAATGCTGATTTTGATTTTTGAAAATGAACAGACTTTACATTTTAAGCATCTTTAAATATATTTAAATGGAAAGTACAGTGAATTCCTATGTGTTATATCAGTTTTTCTATTAGCACCTCATTTTAGAGTACTAACTCAATAGCTTGCTGAAACTCATTTTTGGTTATTTATGGATTAATATTAATATATCATTAACAACAAAAATCCATGGTTTACATAGGGCCTGCCATTTGTATGCCATATCTATGTATTTTGACTTAATGATAGCAGCAAGCATTGCCATCATTACAGAATTATATATAATAATTGTGTCACTCTACGTAGTTCTCCACTCCTTATTTCCAAATCTTAATATTTTACTTATTTCTTTGGATGATATATGATAATGAGTACCATTTCAAGTTTTTATCATTTATACAGTTTGCTTAATCAAATTGCAGATATTTATTTTATTTTTATTTCTTTATTTTACATCCAGGCTGAAGTTTCCCCTCCATCCTCTTCTCCCAGTCCTTCCTTTCCTGTGTTTTCATCCCCACCCTGAATTCACTCCTCCTTTTCTGTTGGGCAAAGATTAAGTCTACCACAGATATCAACAGAACATGGCACAACAACTTGCCATAAGACTAACAACCTTCCCGTGCATGAAGGCTGACCAGGGCAAACCATTATGAGAAGGAATGTCCTAAAAGCTTATAGAAGAATCAGAGATAGCCTCTGGTCCACTATTAGGAGGCTATCTCTAATAGCCTTCTAATAGTTATCTAATAGCTATTAGCTATATCTAATAGCTATCTCTAATAGCTAGAGGACCAAGCTAAACAACAGCAACATATACACAGAGTGCCTAGGTCAGTCCATGCAGGCTCCGGTGGTTGTCAGTTCAGTCTCCGTGAGTCCCTCTGTGCCCAGGTTAGTTGATGTGGATCCTGTGAGTTTTATTGTGGTATTCTTCACCCCCTGATTCCTGAAATCTTATTTCACCCTCTTCTGCAGGATTCCCCGACCTCCACCAAATGCATCTGTTTTCATCAGTTGTAGGTACCCTGTATATAGTAGAATATCATTATACATTATTACATTGACATTTCTTCACTTCCAGTTGTGTTTTGTTCTATCCTGGATCTCTGGGTAGTCTAGCCTGAGGGTCCCGGTGCTCCAGGAAGTGTCTCAGATAGACTTGTTCTCCTGGCAAAGGTTTTAGGTTAGACACTCTTTGTTTGGCCACTCCCTCAATCTCTAGGCCATCATTAACCAAACACATCCCATAGACAGGACGGAGTGTGAGTTAAAGGTTATGTGGCTGGACTGTTTTCTCACTCCATCCACTTGAAGTCTTGCCTAGTTATAGGAGATAGCTTGTTCAGGCTACATATCTGTCATTGCTAAGTGTCTTTTCTGGGGTCATCCTTGTAGCTTCCTTGGAAATAGAAATAGAAGAGATTTTTGAAAGTAGATCAGAGGGTGTGAGGAACTAAACATAAGACATCAAGTTAGTGGAGCAGAGAGGAAGAATATTGAAAGATACCACTGGAAAAGGGGGAGGGACATTTCATGGTCAGGTAAAAACCTGGAGCAAACATGTATACTTTTGATATATTTGTTAATTACTATATCTTATTATTAATTTGAGAATTATTAGTATTTGCACATTAATATGTTTTATGTTATTTAAATACTTATTTTTGGTTATAATAAAGTTGCATATTAGTATATTGAATTTGAATGTTTTGCAGATTTACCCATAGCCTCTGATTTTTCTTTATTGTTTTCATATGTATATTTTGAATAAGAGAAGTTCTCAACTTACCCTATCAACAATTTCCTGAAATTTTAAAAAAGTAATATATATGTGTGTGTGTGTGTGTGTGTGTGTGTGTGTGTGTGTGTGTGTGTGTGTGTGTATGCATTGGTAATGGAGGAGATAGGGGTATAGTGCACATGGCTTCTGGAAAGCCAGAAGAGAGCTTCAAGTACATTGGAACTGGAGTTACATGTGTTGAGAACTGAGCTCAGAACTCTCCCCAGAGGAGTATGTGCTCTTAAACACTAAGGTATTATTCACCACTGGCGAATAGTTTAGTTTAAAACAACAATATATGCATGATTACCACTAATCATTATTATATTTTACTTGTGTATATTTTAAGTTGTATTTACATGACAAATTGAAAATAGAGTATAATATCAGTTGGTTCAGATATATGGTCTCTGTATCTTGAGGGCAGTTGAGATTCCATCTCTTGGAACCTGTCTCTTTCAAATCATAATGGACATCTAGCTATGTGGAACCATATGCCGAATTGCCTGTGGTCATGATTTTGTATCACAGCAACAGTAAAGTAGCTAATACATTATCATTGTTTCACTTTAAATATTTTGAAAAGTCTTGTCAAAAACTAAATTGTAATACAAAAATACTGTTAGAAGTTTATGATAAAATCAAAAGAACAGTTCAGAAAACACAAAGATGATAATGGAAAAGTTGTCAGCCATAATCAGACAATGCTTAAAGTTTAAGAAGGGAGGTCTGTACTTTCACTACTATTTATAATACATTACCATTTTTACAGCCTTTGAACACTCTCAACTGATTCTTCTACAACTGATTGTTTTAATGCTCCTGAATCACACTGACAAAAGAAGCTTACATTCTGTGTTTTATGTATAATCATGTCTAGTATTTTAGGGATTTGAGATTGACTTAGTTTTGGTGGTTAGACTTCTTGTGTTTCTGAACTAGGGTCACCAATGTTTAAGTAATTTTGTAAACATCTTAACACATACATGCTCAAAATATTAAATACACATTGATCTTTCTGTTTTATGAAAGCTGAGAATAAAGTCATGGTACTTATGTTTTACATCTGAAATTAGTGTAACTCCTCACTATTTTTCTCATAAGCTACTTTAACATCTTGAAAATTCTTTTGTTACTTCTATCTTGCCCTAGATGATATTTCTAATAAATATAAGTAGCATCTTTAGAAATAAGTCTGTATAGTTCAGAATTGTTTCTAGTGTCTCCTTTAGCCATTTATTAGCTTAGCTATAAATATAAATGTGATGAAATATTAACAATTTCATGTAGAACAACCAAACAGAACACACTACAAGACACTTTTTTCCTTTTTTAATCAATTTTTGTTATTTTTTAATTTTAACTATTTTTTACATACCAATGCCAGTTCCCATTCCCTCCACTCCTCCCATTCTCTCTTTCACTCACCCCACCTGCCACCTGCTCTTCACAGAGGGCAAGGCCTCTAATAGGAGTCAACAGAGTCTGTACCATCACCATGTTGAGACAGGACCAAGGTCCTCCGCCCTGTGTCTAGGCTGAGCAATGTATCTCTCCACAGAAAATGAGCTCCTTTTGCCCCCTTTTTGTGTGGATGTATGTGGTGAAGGAAGATTACTTTCGTGTCCCAGAGTAGGCTTGAACTCCCTTTGCTGGTCAACTTACCACTCCCCCCACACACACACATGTACTGTCACTTTTCCTTTGCACCCTGAATGCTGGGTTTCTAGACATGCACTACCAACTCATTCTCCAAAGTTATTTGCATAATCTTTAAGGCATAACTTAGTCTATGCCTGTATTCTTCAATTTTATGTAACGGTATTCTTCAGTTTCATGTATAGTTTCAAAATCCGGTGCCACCTTTAATAATTTTTCTCACCACAGATCTTACATACACACTTACTTATCTTCTCCAGTGCTTTCAGCACAATAACTAAATTCTAAGCAACCTCTATAAGTATAACGTTGAATTACCTGCTTTCTGACATTACTACCATCCCAACTTCTTATTTATTTCTTCTATAATTCAAGGTATCTGCCTACATTTACTATACATTTTATTCTTAAATTAATCTATATGAATGATTTGCATATCCATGTAGCCTAGATGTTATTCAGAGTAGTTCTTATGTCATGATCCTTCAGTATGAAAATTTTGCAAAAATAATAGTGACTTTAATATACATTTCAATAAGCAAGAAACTTTCTGTGTATGTTAAGGAAAACATGATTAAATGAAATCTTATATCATCATAATATAAAGTGACATTTTCAAAGTCAAACTCTTGATTTCCACAAATGATGACTTTTGTGGATCTTAAAACCAGTCTCAGTTGATAATCTTAAAATAAGCTCTGATATTTTCATACAATAAACAGAACAGAAAGTATGTTTGGTCATAGTGAACCATTTTGTTTTATGCTCCCTGCATTAATTGAGAACTCCTCTGGAAAACACAGACTAAACTTACAGTAAGAGCTTTCCTATTGAAAGGCTCCTGGAAAGTTCAATCACATTAATACAGAATGTTTTGTGGTTTAATTGGTATTCTACCAAAATAACACTGTGTATGTTCTTAATAATAACCAAGTGTTTTGGTTGCTGGACAGATTTTTCAGTACTTAATATCATTCCTTGCTATTGCAGATGAACCGAGCTTCTTTCTTAGTCTCTGTATGGTAGCTTATATCTATCTCTAATACTGGTTCCAGTGTAGACAATACTCTCTTTTGTCTTCCTCGGGAACAGGTAACAGAAATGATGCATAACACACATGCAGGAAAAAAAAACACTAAAAAAATAAACCAGAAAGTGATTTTTAAAATAGTTTAAAAACTGTTAGCAATTCTCAGCAGTTGTGATTAAAACAGCATCTGAAAGGGTACTCATCACACTTCTGCAGTTAAGAACCTCAACATTTATAACCATAGGAGACAGTATTAGACATTTAAAAATACTTTCGACGTTTTCACCTTCATGCTTCTTATTTCCAAAGACTGCAAACTTCAAAATACTATATGATAACTTATAATACCAATATTTGATAATTTGTTTTCTCCAACTTCTTCAAAAAATCAGTATCTGAAAAATGTAGAAAAAACTAGACCTCACCTTAAGGGAAAACATCATCTCCAGAGGTCACAATCTTTTTCTATAATGTATTGTTTTTTAAATTCTTCTGTGATGATTTCATTCTTTCAAACTGTTAAGTCTTCTTGGAAGCATAAAATAAAAAATAAGTGCTCTGAGATCAGCAAATGAGGTCACTTTATTTACTCATAAACATCAAGGAGTCAGAATGGAATTTTTACTAAGCACATACAGTGGGTACATTTTAAGATGCAGAACAAAGGAGATATTTTCTAACTAGATACATTTTAAAGTGTGAATTATATCTTAAAAACAAGGTATAACGTATTCATAAAAGACTACCTTATACCTTGGACTGCCCTGGTAATGAAGCTTTCCAGTGATAGATCCCAAGACTTCTCTAAATCCATGTATACCAATTACAGAATAAAATAACAAACAAACAGGAAAAATAACACATACAAACATGCACAGACACGGTCACATTTTTTTGCAGTCCAAAAACCAGAAGATAGTTGCTCAATACCTTTCATAAGATCTGTAATAACAGATTTGTGCTATAACAAAAAGTTGTGTTAAAAAACATTGGCCAACAAATGTTTAGGTATAACTGTTGCCACTCCAAATTTATAAATTCACTACTCATTGTTACTTCAGTCAAAGTAAATAATGCATATCATTACTAAATAGACAATAGATCCTAATTTGGTCAAATCTGATTTCAGGAGTTTATAACCATTAACAGTTTTACACTCTGTGCACATACACTTTGTGCCTTCCATTTTCAAGGAACGCCATACCCTGAGACTTACAGATGTCTTTCAAAGTCATGGATTACTTTATGAAGAGTGTGAATGAATGAGCTGAATTTAAAGTCAGAAATATCATGCTGAAGTGCTTTCTGCCAAATTCTTTAGCTCCTTTTCATTTATTTTTACTGTTGAAACTATAACTTGATTACCCTATTTCTCTCTCACTTTCCTTCCACAATATCCTCCCATACACCACTCCTTGAGAACTTTCAAATATGAGGCTTTTTTTTTACATGCATGTATATTTTCATGAATATGCCTTAAAAATTGTTAAGTCTGTAAAATACCTGTGTGCAGTTTTTCAGGATGTACTTTTTAGCACTAGACAACTAATTGGTACATTCTTTCCTGGAGATGGACAACTTTCCTCTTCCTAGCTTTCCTCAGGTTTTATATTTATTTTGTAGGGTTGAGACCAATGGGTTTTCCTCCAGTTTGGCAAGCATTGGTGTCATATTCTGTCATTGTTAATTATTACGCCCACACTATCATAAACTATCCTAAGTGTGACATGTTGTACAGTGACAAGAAGAAAATATAACAACTTAAGTTATGTAATTTCCCTAAAAAGCATGTATAACACCCTCCTTATGTTTTCATATCGTGAGTAATATCATACTCAATCCAAAAACCCATTTCTCTATAACACAGTCTTTCCATGGTTCTGGCTTCTTTCAACATTCCAAATAAAATCACTGTCAACATTTGGCATTTTACAGGTTCCTCATTCTTATCATATATAAAAATATTGCACCTAGACTGAATATATACAAATATTCATGCCATTACTACCTGATAAACACAATATAGCAATTTATGTAGTGGGGGGGGGAACTGTAAATATCTAGAGAAGATTTCTCAGAGGAAGCTTCATTTACAAACTATAATTGATACCTCCATTAAACAGTAAATAGTTGTCCTGAGCTTTCTGCTTTTCCTGGATCTAGGACCAAGTTTCTGCCTATAGCTTCCCCACACCTCACAGAAATCGATCTTTGTTTCAAATACTCAAATTCTCTAGTAAGGGGATTCAAAAAGTAACCTAAATCTGAGTTTGTTTTAAATAAAAATGAATGATTATTGAGTGAAGCTATTGTTACCACAAAAAGGTGACAGCCTGGTTTTCCCATTTTATTGCTGTTGTTATCCTTTTAACATTTCAGTTCTGAAATGATGAGATAAATGTTTCTCATTTTTTTCTGTCGGAAAGATATTAAGTAGTCAACATTAACTTCACTCTCTCTGTTTAGTATGAAACAATGCAAATACTACTACTAATGGGCATTTGCCCCACTGACCAATGATCTGAACACGCTTTGTTTCTCACTCAATTCCATGCTAAAAAAAGCTACTTACAGGGACATCATTGTTAGAAATGCTTAACAAAATCCAGGTAGAGAGGCATGCATCTTTATTCCCAGCACTCAGTAGTGGCAGGTAAATCTCTGTAAGTTTAAGGCCAGTCTGATTTATATAGTGAGTTCCAGGACAGCCAGAATTACATACTGAGACCCTGACTCATAAAAACCAAAACAAAACAAAACAAAAATCAAAGAAAAAGAGAAATATTTAACACCATCCATACTGTATTATAAATAAATAATTTTTAATCTTAATCAGAGTGATTAAACAACAATGTAAGACAGCAATCCAGGATTTGCAATTTACAGCTGGACACCAGGTCTTCTTAGCTGAAATGGTGCCACCCGTTAATGATTAAAATTAAAATATGTGAGCTTATGGAGGCCATTCTTACTCAAACTAACATCATTATAAAACCACAATTTTTTGACTGATGGATTGACTTATAAGAAACCATTTTTCTTTTAACATCTTTTCTGCACAGAGTTTAATATTGTATCTGGCAATAGTATCTAAATCAAAATTTCATTTCTAAACAAGCAGAAAGAATTCCAGACTGTTAAAAAATTAGTATATCAGATGATAATATTTTCACATTTCTTTCCAGTTTTGAAATCACAATTTATGGTTGTTGTCAACATAAATTTCTGTCAGCCTTTGGCTATGTCTTAGGCAACATTTGGAATTCTGTAATGCTAGGAAGACAGGGAGTCCAGCATGGTTTTCTATAGGAGACTGAATCTGTAGATAGAGTCAAAAGTGTTTCCAACACTAGTCCAGTTGTTGGTTAAATGCATTTCAAAAGGTAGGGGTATGTGTGTGTGTGTGTGTGTGTGTGTGTGTGTATAATATTTGATATTACAAGACTCTCCTTTTTAAACTAATTTTATGTAAATTAGAAACAATCTTATTTTACATAAAAATTCAGTTCTGTGTCACTTCATCCCACTCCCCCCACAATCTTCCCATCCAACCCTACATGCACTCCTCAGAGAGGATGATGCCTCCCATGGGGGAACATCAAATCTGTCACATGATTTGGGGGAGGATTATTGCTCTCCCTAAGTATCTCGTCTCAGAGAATATCCCTCTGTAGGGAATGGGCTCCAGAGACCCATTTCATGAACTAGGAATAAATACTGGAACCATTGACAGAAGCCCCATAGACTGCCCAAGCACAACCGCTACACACAAATGACACCACATTGAGGGGGCTTGATTTAATCTAATGCAGGTTCCCTAGCTGTTAGTCTCAAGTCCATGAACTCCCACTTGCTCAGGTCAGCTCTTTCTGTGTGTTCTCCAACATGGTCTTGACCCCTTTGCTCATCACTCCTCCTCTACAGCAGTATTCCTGGAGTCTATCTCAGTGCTTGGCTGTGAATCTCTGCTTCTGCTACCACCAGCTACTGAATGAAGGCTCTGTGATGGCATTTTAGGTAACTCTAATAATGTATCTCTTTTCTTGTTCTTCTCTACCTCAAGACACATCAATTCCACTCTTAGGTATACACCCAATGTAGGTGCATTCATAACAAATGGACATCTGATCAACTATGGTCATAGTAGCAGTATTTATAATAGCCAGAATCTTGAAGCAACATAGATGCCCCTCAATGAACCAAAGAATGAATAAAGAAAATGTGGTACATATATACAATGGATTACAAATCAGCAGTAAAAAACCAATAGAATCTTGAAATCTGCAGACAAATAGATGGAACTAGAAGAAATCATTCTAAGTGAGGCATCTGAGACACAGAAATACAAACATGGAATATACCCACTCATAAGTGAATATTAGATTAGAGCAAAGGATAACCAGCCTACAATTCACAACCCCAGACTATCTAGGAAACAAAAAGAACCCTAAGGAGACATACATGAACCCCCAAGAAGGTGAAAGGGACAAGATCTATTGAGTAAATTGGGAGCATGGGGAAAGGGGAAAGAGAACTAGCAGGGACAAGTGGAGGGGCGAGGAGAACATGAGGGATCAGGGGAAGGACAGAGAAGGAGAGCAACAAAAGAGATATCTTCATAGAGGGAGCACTTGTGGGTTTTACAAGAAACCTGGCCTTAGGGAAATTTCTATGAATCCACAAGGATGACCTCAACTAAGATTCTAAGAAATAATAGAGAGGCTACTGAAAATGCCCTTCCACTGTAATGAGGAATCTCCTTAGGCAGTAAATTTTCATTTTCTTTTGGTTCAGTAAAATAGATGTCTGGCCCTCCCTTTTTTACCAGACATTCCATCCCCTATAAATCCATAAATATATAATAAATGCAAAATATCATTTTTGTTGATGATAATTTTCAATATTCTTTAAATTTTTGAACTAATCCCTGATTTAATTGGAATGTTGTCACATATGTTGACCCCAAATATACAGTATAGAATTACATTTCACATTATGTACCACAGTTAATTTTCCTAAGTTTCCTTCCTTTTAAATCAATTACTCATTTTGGCAAGTCAGTATGAATGTTGTAAAGAGTAAGTATATGTTGTAAGTATACTTACTCTTTAAAAGAGTAAGTATATGTTGTAAAGTAGGAGGAAACAAAGCAGGAGTAGTTATAGGGCAACAGGTATCAAAGCAGTTAACAGAAATAAGTTCTAGTTTTCTGTACTATTAAAGAACTACCATAGTTCACAATATGTGATTGCATATTGTACTCTTTTGCAGGTCTATATATCTGGCAGAAACAATGGGAGAAGGTTTTTGCCCATAGATGCTGGGCAGTACATATGTTACCTGGAACACATCAGCTTGTTCACAAAACTAACAGTTACATGTTCTGTTTCTGGTGGGGGTACCTTTGACTTAGAGATTGAGTTGTTAGAATAAAAAAGACACAGGACTGTGTCCCATGGCACAAATATTTATTTCCATATGTTCATAGGAGTTTTAGTTTGTTTTCATCATCTTGTAGAGCATTCCTGACTGTGTTGTAACTTTCATGCCATTTGTATGAGGATTCCTCTAGTAATGTAAGAGAGAGTCTCTTCATTTCTGCACGTAAAGCTAAATTTTAACATTGTCAAATAAGCGGTCCCTAAATAAATATTTATAAATTTTAAATAGGACTGCAACATGTTAGAAAAGAAACTGTTACTTTAGTGTGTGAATGACATCTATTGAAAGCCTTTTATTGAGGAAGGAAATGGTTCTCATTTTTATTTAATAAGGAGTATACAGTATAGAAATCAATTTGTTTCTCATTGTAACAGTACTTTAACACAGCAGACAAGCAACAAAGTTCATTTAGCAAACTAGAGATCTTGAAATAAACAAACACTATATTAATGAGATTAAGCTTGCTTCTGAATCCCTGAAAGTACACTCTGCCTTTTAATAGGCAAAGTAAGATATTTTAATAGATACCCTAATAAGAAAGATGAGAGCCTTCAATTCATACAAAGTGCTAAGCTGAAATACGTACTTAAATGCATCTCAGGCTCTCTCTGCTAGTTGGCTAGCAATTAATCATGATTATAGTGGAAGACTGTTTAACACCTACAAGATATTATGAGAGCCTGCTTTCTAAGTACCATAGAATCCACATTCTATTTGTACTGATTGATACAGTTTTTTTATCATAACTAAAAGAAGAATGGTGGACATGCATGCACAGACACACATGTTATAGATATAAGGTAAAATATCTGTGGGATGACACAAAATTACTGAAAATATAGTCAAATAGCAATGCTATGAATATATTTAATAAATAAATATTCATACATTATTTTCTTTAAGGCAGTTTAGGGCACCATTAAAGACAACTTTTCAGTGACTAAGAATATTAAGATGAATTTTAGCCAAATCTATAGTTGCAAAATTGGAATTTTACCCTAGGCACGGATAATACACATCTGTTCTTCAGGCTCATTTAACAACAGACTACTCTAGTGTACAGGATCAAATTCATTAGTTTTTTGAAAGATGGAGTCATATGGTTATATTTCATAGTTATTAATTTTTAGAAGTTTTCAATGGTAAGTCACTTTTCTGTTTCTACCCTATTGTAAGCTGAATTTTAAAGGATAGTGTCCACCATATGCTTCATTTTTTTCACTAGGATTATTTTAATCCTTCAGAACATGTAAGAAGGTGAGCAAAAGTAAAAACCCAAGTAAGGAAAAAAAACAAAGAGGGGAGGCAGAGAGAGGAAAAGAAGGAGAGAAAGAGATGACAAAGAGGAAAATGGAGGAGGAGCTTAACAATTCCATGAGAGAACTGTGATGTGGGAAGTGCATATATACTTAGTAAGACTCTCTAATGACCCTTAAGTGGGTTAGCAAAAAGCATTTCATTTATTATTAGGCCATTACATGGTAAATGTGATTTATTCAAAGCCATTTGGAAATGTGCATTTGGATTTCATGTTAAACAAGCTAAGTATACTACCATTTAATTTTTTCATCTCTCTATAAAAATTCAAACATGATGCTTATTAGCCAAAGAGAGTTCCTCCTCTCCTAGTTTTATATCAAATTATTTTGTGTTAGTGTTTGAATAGGTGTGTTTAAGACTCTAAAATTTGAAGCTCATTTTCCATGTCTTTCTGATTAACTAGGAAAATCACTATCCACTTCAAATGAAACAATCCATGATCTATTTTAAATCAATCCTCGTTATTTTGTGTATGGGAAGGATTAATTTGTGCAGCATTTAATAATTCCTTTCGCATCCCACTTTTAATGTAAGTATGTGCAAATCGTGAAAAGGTAACTGTTTATAGGCTAGTACACTTTATCTCTGCCTTGCATGTTGACTCATTATTCTTAAGTCATAGTAGTAATTGTAAAGTTATTTTTGACAAGATAAAATATATTTAATTACAAGAATAATTGTGTAACTCCAACATTTGTCAGCAAGATCAATATATAAATGTATTTTAAATAAGTCTTGAGTTTATATAGAATTTTTAATATTTATTATTGATAAAAGAAAATTTTCATGTTGGAAAAATCATTCCTCTTATAATCACATTATATCATTTACTAGTTAGTTGACTTAATATGTAGACAAACATATTAGTTGCTTTTCAAATGATAGCATACATAATTTGGTATGAGATTGCCAGATCAGATATATGAAGTTATGTGACATATAGATACTGGATAAGTGCTAAATACATACATATTTGTATGTATGAATTGATACATAATAACTACATAGACAAATGCTGCATATGTAAATACATAATGGATATGTGCCACTGTCATAGAAGCTGGTGAGTTCTTTTGGCAGTAGCTATGTTAGAAACATGAACTCTCTTGTATCTCTGTATTTTTCCTCCATTCCCTTTGAACTCTGATCATATGATACCTTCAGCTATGTTATGATAAGCAACAAGATTTTTATCACCTTGATATTGGATTTCAAACTTTCATTTTTGTGAGAAATGAGTTTAATATAAATTACCAGTACTTGCTCTTCTGATATAGCAACTAAAATTCACAACAAGTTGAAACAGGACAATATTTGTGACAATGGAATGTTGGAGGGTCAGTAGTATCACATCATAAAAACTTAGAGAAAGTGTGATTTTTAGAAAAAAAAGTAATGATTCATTTCAAAACCTGTATTTTTTCTGCATTTATGATAAAATTATTTAACACCACAGTTTAAAATGTCTGAAATAAATCTGACTCCTTACACTGGTTGCTGCCATTCAAATACTTATTCAAAATTATTTTGTAAATAAATATTATTTAGTCATAAAATATGTCAAAATCCATAATGGACATTATGAATTTAAGGATTATACATATTTGTGATTTTCAAAAATTTTATTTATAGAGGAAATTTTAAACCAAACAAACATTTAAGATTTGACAAAAGTCCTGTAACACAGTTGACAGGTTTGAGAGGGAAATGCTTTGTTAGATACAATAGCAAGGGAACATTGACATGATAGTAGCATTAAACATTGTCTCTGAAAGATGGTTAGACAGACAAGGGAATTGTACTGAAGACAAACAAAGCTGTAAGGATAGCATTTTACTACCCATTACCAAATAGGTTCGATATTGGTAGAATAAATGGACAAAAGAAAGGTAAGAGGTAAAATATTTTCTAATAAACAACACCAGTACACAAGCAAAATTAATGATGAAACTTAGAGTTTTCTTAGAATTGAAGTTGCAGGAAATATAGGCATCCCCCCCCCCACACACACACCTAAAGATCATAATACATTCAGAGTACAGCCACTGAGATCTGCTCATGGAGTAATGGGCATGGCATTCATAAGTGGTAAAATACCTCTAGCCTCGGTGCAAACAAGCAGAGAAACATAGGAGACTAGATGAGGAAGACGGTAGTCTTAACCTTGAAGATTGCCATCAGGCTTTATTTCTGTGTGGAATAAAAGATTGTGTGTGTGTGTGTGTGTGTGTGTGTGTGTGTGTGTGTACATACATGTGCATGTGTGTTCCTGCATGTTTGCATGGGATTATGTGATGTATTATGGCTTCAACATGAAAAGGGGTGGAGAGGTAAGTCACTATAAAACATACTCAGAGCCTTTGGCTTTGTTCTGGGGATAATCAATTTGCTAAAGTCCAAATTTGAAACATAATTCCAAATCAGAAAAAGAATTCTTGACCATGTCAGTTATGAGATTTTTGTAAATTCTGGATAGTAACCTTTTACAAATGTGTAGTTGTTAACTCTTTCCCCATTTTAGGGCTGCTTCCTCGCCCAGATGATGGTGTCCCTTGGTGTTTGGAAGCTTTTTACTTTTTGTGAGGTGCACTTTACTAATTTTTTGTTGTGATGCATGTGCATATTAGTTGAAGTGCATTCTTTACATTCTCCTGCATCAGATTCAGTGGGACAGGTCTTATGCTGAGGTCTTTAATCCACATAGAATTGAACTTTATGCAGGGTGAGGTGAGAGTCCAGTCTGTCTTCCACATGTAACTTTGCAGTTTGACCAAAGCCATCTGGTGAAGATGGTATCTTTTCTCCACTGGGTGTTTTCTGCTTCTTTTTAGAAATCAAGTTGCTACAGCAGTGTGTGATTATATGTGGCTCCATAATTCTATTTCATTGACCAAAGTCTCTGTTTTTACCACAGAACTGTGCTGCCTTTTTTATTATACCTCTAAAGTGTAACTTGAAACCTGGAAAGATGATTCCTTCAATAAGTGGAGCAAAAACAAGGAGAAATCTTGATTTCTCTGCTCAACACTTTTGTTTCATTTCTTCTGCATGAGTTGAGTTCAATCGTACTGTAACAGTGGAGATAACACTTAATTTCTTAGAAGTTTCTCCACCTTTCCACTAGCAGCTTGTTAAATTGTTATAAAAAACATAGTCTTATCATTTCTTTCCTTTTTCATTAAGCTTAAAGGGTAAGGTTGAATAATCTCTAAATCACTTTCATCTGAGATTACCAGAAATCATAGCATAAGCCATGATTCCAAAATATTATGATGTTACTTAAGATAGAGATTAAAGCATTTAACATTTATTAGAAATACAGACATGAAACATAATGCAAATTGAAGATTCCATAATGTTTTTGAAGTCTCTGCCTAAGAGTTTATACCATTTACTTTTCCATGAAGAAAATAAGGTTAAAATTTTCTGTAGATTTTGTCTCAATATTCCTTTCTACCCATAAGATTCACCTATTTTTCAGAACACTTGAAGCTGAGTAAGCAATTTGCCTGAATAATTAAATCAGTGTTTCTTTTATTTACCCAGTTGACATTGGCAGAGAGTCACCTGTTTTCTAGTAACATGAAATATCTTTTCATCATGAAGAGCATGTACTGTTTTATCAATCATGACAGTGTGACACTATATTTCACATAATTTCTAGTAGTTTATGAAGATCCAAGGCTTATCTCCAGAGGGTATCTGGTAAGGTTACTGTGCATACAAGATTTTTGCCATAAGAAGATTGTCTACAAGGTAATTTCTTTGAATAATCAAAAAAATCATTAACTATTTGAGAAAATTGGGCACACTAAAAAGGAGATAATCTCAGGGTGATAAGAACTGATATTTATGAAAATTGTTATAAGAGAATCTCAGAATATTATATTAATATTAAAAATTTTAATCATTTTTGCACTTCCATTTCAACTTTGTCTCCTAAATGATATTGCATGCCACCTTTTTCCTTCCTCAACTTTCCCATACAATCTTTAATCTATGTTAATATTGCTAAATCAACTAGAACCTTAAAATCAATTCTTTTTAACCATTGTATCCTTTGTCATACCTATACTTCTCTAGGACTTTCCCAGCTGCTTGTCCATATACTAGATAGATTTCTATTGCTGTGGTAAACATAAAGATCATATATGTTAATGAGCTAGACACTACCCCATTAATCATTAGCCAAGAAAATGCTTCACAGGTCCATGTGATGGTAGCATTTACTCAGTTGGGGTGGTCTCATGGCAGATGACACTAGCTTCTATCACCTTGAATAACACCTAGCCAGAACACCTTATGTATGTAAAGAATATGTTGACAAAATTATTTTTAAATATTTGTATCAGAGTCACTATTAACAACATCTGATATAGTTGATTGTAATTTTCTCATGGTTTAGTATATTCTTGTTTCTTTGGTCAATTTATTAAGTCCTGTACTTTAAAATAACTTGACATGTGCAAACCTTTTTTTGTTTGTTTGTTTTGTTTTGTTTTTGTTTTTTTGTTTTTTTCTTTTTCGGGTTTTTTTCTATCTTATTATTTTTTATCTAAAAATTCTTTTTTTTCTCTTCCCCCGCCTCCCAAGACAGAGATCTGCCTGCCTCTGCCTCCCAAGTGCTGGGAGTAAAGGCATGTGCCACCACTGCCTGGCTAAAAAAGTCTTATTCCCAGTTCCCTTTCCCTCCTTTCCTCCCACTGCCCCACCTTCTCTCCAGCCCAAATTCCATACACTCCTCAGAGAGGGTGAGACCTCCTTGGGAAATAACCAAAGTCAGTCACATCACTTGAAGCAGGTCCATCCTCCTCCACTATCTAGGATGAGCAAGTTATCTTTCCATAGGAAATGGGCTGCAAAAAGCCATTTCATGCTCTAGGGATAAACACTGGTTCCAGTGAATGTCTCTTTTAGGTTCCTCCTTGTTTCCTAACTTCTCTGGGGTTGTGGCTGGTCATCCTTTGCTCTGTGTCTAATATCCACTTATGAGAGAGTACATGCCATGTTTTTCTTTCTGTCTCTGGGATACCACACTCAGGATAGTTTTTCTAGTTCCATCCATTTGCATAGGAATTTCAAGATTTCATTGGGGGAAGGGAGGTAGGAGAAAGAAGAGGGAAGGGAAACAGGGAGAACTTGAAGGGTCAGGAATGTCGGCTTGGGGGAAGAACAGAGAAAGACAGCAAGAAAAGAGATACCTTAATAGAGGGACCTTATATGGGCTTAAGGAAAAATCTGGCACTAAAGTAATCTCCAGGAATCCACAAGGATCACTCCAACTAAGAATCTAAACAATAGTGGACAGGCTATCTTAAATGCCCTTCCCCTATAAGATTGATGACTAACTTAAATGCTGTCCTAGAGCCTTCATCCAGTAGCTGATGGAAGCAGAAGAGATTCACAGCCAAGCACTGAGCTGAACTCATGGAATCCAGTTATAGAGAGGGAGAAATGATGAGCAAATGGGTCAAGATCATGCTAGGGAAACCCACAGAAACAGATAACCTGAGCAAGTGGGAGCTCAAG